TGTTGTCCTTGTTGGTGGTTCCACTAGGATTCCCAAGGTGCAGCAGCTTTTGCAAGACTTCTTCAATGGGAAAGAGCTCTGCAAGAGCATCAACCCCGACGAGGCTGTTGCTTATGGTGCTTCTGTTCAGGCTGCTATCTTGAGTGGCGAAGGGAATGAGAAGGTGCAGGATCTGCTTCTTCTTGATGTTACTCCTTTGTCGCTTGGACTGGAAACTGCTGGAGGTGTCATGACTGTCTTGATCCCAAGAAACACCACCATTCCCACCAAGAAGGAGCAAGTTTTCTCTACTTACTCTGACAATCAACCTGGTGTGCTCATCCAAGTTTATGAGGGTGAGAGGACAAGAACGAGGGACAACAACTTGCTTGGTAAATTCGAGCTCTCTGGCATTCCTCCTGCACCCAGGGGTGTTCCTCAGATCACTGTCTGCTTTGATATTGATGCAAACGGTATCTTGAATGTGTCGGCTGAGGACAAGACCACAGGACAGAAGAATAAGATTACAATCACAAATGATAAGGGTAGGTTGTCAAAGGAAGACATTGAGAAGATGGTCCAGGAGGCCGAGAAGTACAAGTCAGAAGATGAGGAGCACAAGAAGAAGGTTGAGTCCAAGAACTCTTTGGAGAACTATGCCTACAACATGAGGAACACTGTTAAGGATGAGAAGATCAGCTCCAAGCTGGGTGCAGATGACAAGAAGAAAATTGAGGATGCGATTGACCAGGCTATCCAGTGGCTAGACAGCAACCAGCTTGCAGAAGCAGATGAGTTTGAGGACAAGATGAAGGAACTTGAGAGCATCTGCAATCCTATCATTGCTAAGATGTATCAAGGTGCTGGAGCTGATATGGGTGGTGGCATGGAAGAAGATGCTCCTCCAGCTGGCAGCGGCGGTGCAGGTCCTAAGATTGAGGAAGTTGATTAAGTTGGCTGATGGCCTATGCGGATCCCTGTTTGTTTTCTGGGATGTTTATCTTTTTACTTTCCATAGCTATTTAGGTTTATGATTTTGTCGTCCTCTTGAGAATGGCATTTCCGGAAGTTTATTACATCTTTTGACTTTTTGTTGCTCTATTGAAACAGCAAATAGCAATTGAAATTCTGGGGATTTTACTTTGTGGCGATTTAGCTTAGTCTTGCCTTTTTAAAGAGATTGCTTCATTGGGCGTTGAATTTGAAGACTCTGCTTTGCTGGCGAGTTGTCTTACACGCGCTCTATCGTCATCTGCATATCAAGTTAAGCTAACATCACGTCGACTGCCCAAGGCAGTGTGAGAAAATATCAACGCATATCAAGTTAAGCTAACCTCACGTCGACTGCCCAAGGCAGCGTGAGAAAATATCAGCGCATGAGCTCATACCTGCGCGGATTTCACTCGCTAGCAATACTGTCTGCGTAGCCCAGTTTTTTTCTCTGTCGATCTGGACTGGACCGTGCTTATACTAGTGGAAGTTGCTTTACGAATGGGCGGGGCTTTAGTCCCCAAACTCCTCACGGTAAGCAAGCCTATTTTCAATCACTTATCTTTGTTTGCATGACCGACCCAAGATGCTAGCTATAACTATTTGTCAGAAAAGTATTGGGGTCATCTGGCCTCTTTGCAAGGCAACAGACAATCATACTACAGACCTTTAGATTCCGAATATCAAATCGGGAGGTCTGTTCCGCGAAGCCTAGCAGAAGAATTTGCAATCATCTAAGCCCTAGTAACTACAACAGGATACCGCTTGACAATACTTAAAACCCTGATTTGGGTTTCTAAATTGGATCATTAAAATAGAAATGCATTAAAAATCCCCACTTACATAATGTGGTTGGTGGATTCCAGTCCACACTATGCCATAAAACCACCAAAAAATCTAAAAATTATTTTTATATAAAAAAATATTAATTTAAAATAAATATATAAAATAAAATTTTTTAAAAAATATTTTTAAAATACAAAAAAATATATATATACAAGCCCTGAACCATGACTTCACTAAGGTTCAGGACGAGCTTAAAATTGAGCAGGCTTTTTTATTTTTTATTTTTTATTTTTTATTTTTCTTGAGAATAGTTTGATCAAGCATGGGAACCAACATTAAAAAAGGATTCCGATTAATTCGAGCAAGAAGCGTTGAAAGTCTTGCAAACTAAGCAATTTCATCCTTAACTATCAATCATTTCTCAACATTGCCCTTTCGGTTGTTTTGGTTGACGGCAATAAATAGAAATCATTGAAAAGAAGAAACTTTAACGACGTGTCATGTGCAATGTCCTTCCTCTGAAGAACATCGGTAATGGGTCCATTTGTCATTGCATTCTGTGTCTCGAGCCAAAAATCAAAATTAATATATTGTCGCTTGCAATTATTCATTTCCCAGTCAGATCTACAGGACAACAAAAAAACAATAATCAACTGGGGTCCCTGTCAACTGGAGACAGAGTTTGCACGTTTAAAATCTACCTTCTTCTTGGAGATTTTGCCTTTTAATAAAACGAGGATTTTTTTTTTTTTTTTCTGCGAGGGACATCATTTGTGTGATACTAGTTATATCACCGGGTTGCATAAAAAAAATTAAAAATTAAAATTATTAAGTTTTTTTATGAAGTTATATCTAAAAAATTTCAATATTTAACTTAAAAATAATATTAATAATAACATTAAATTTGCATGATCCAGATTTAAGTGATTTTAGTTGTAATACCAGCTATAATAGCATTGGATATAAATCTGACCGTAAGATCATGTTATAAAAGTATGATAATTAAATAAATTAATTAAAAAAAATCAACAGAAAGAAAAAACTAGTGAAAACAAAGAAAAAAATAGAATTAATTGGGTTAACTCGTCAAATCAAGTTAACCTACTAAACCTGAAATTTGTGTCACGAAAGTGTAATAACTAAATAGAAAAAAAAATTAATATTAATGAACTAATTTAAAAAAAATAAAAAGAAAAAAGAAAAATACCTATAGGAAGGAAAAAACTAATGAAAAAAAAAGAAAAAAAATCTGAATCAACTAGGTCAAACCATCAAATTAAGGATCCATGTTATAAAAACCTGATAACTAGACAGAAAAACTGTAATATTAAGAAACTATAAACAAAAAAAATAAACTAAAAGCATAAGCTTTTTCACTGTAGATTGCATCGTATTATTCACGGTAAAAAACTTAAAAATAAAAAGAAAAAAGAAAAAAAAACAATAGCATACACTACGTGTTAAATTTTTTTCTTGCATAAAAAATATATTAAAAAAAATATCAAGGTCTAAGAGTGTTAGGTATTTCTGCAAAGATATACATAAAAGTCTTGAGTTTAGCTGCAACGCTTGACCCAAAAATATTATTTATAATGTTAATAATAACATTAAACTTATATGACTTAAGTTCAAATGAGTCTAGTTATAATACCAAACCCTGGAGCATTAGATGTGGATTTGTTTACAAGTTCATATCATAAAAGTGTGATAATTAAATAGATTAATTAAAAAAAAAACAAAGAAAGAAAACCAATAGAAAGAAAAAACTAATGAAGAAAAAAATAATTTAAATTAATTAGGCTAACCCGTCAAACTTAGGATTCGTGTCATGAAAGTTTGATAACTAAATACAATAAAATAATTAATGGATTTATCCAAAATTAACTAGATTAACTCGTTAAACCAAGTTAACCTATCAAGTCCGGAATATGTGTCATGAAAGTCTGATAATTAAATAAAAAAATTTAAAATTAACAAACAAACTAAACTAAATAAAAAAATAAAAAAAAATCTGGATTAATTTGTCAAATTAATCTAACTCATCAAACCTGATATCAAATAAAAAAAATCATTAAAAGAAAAACAATAACAAAAAATTAAAAAAAAACAAATAATTTAGCGTTTCATTTAATTTTTAGTATATAATATAATATAATATAATATAATATAATAATGATAATAATATAATATATTAAAGGTGGGGAAGTAATTATAATATAATATAATATTATATTATATTATATTATATATTAAAAATAAGAAAATAAAAGGCATGGGAAGCTACAATAGTTTTCCCGCGCCTTTTAGATGTTTTTTTCATGGTGGGAGTTAATTGAGTAGTGTTTGATGGACGGGGGGGTCTAATTTGAATGTTTTTTTTTTAGGACCCGAATAAGGATTGCGTGATAGTCGGGGAAATAGTCTTTCTCATTGAAAGCCAAGTGTTCTTCAAACAAATCCGACCATCTAAACCAGTTCGGGTAATATATTTTTTTTAATAGATAATTAGGATAGTTATCTCCTACTCGAATTATATTTTCTAACAACGTTTTCGTCATTGTAGGTTGACATGATCAAGCTTGTTATGGTTCGTGTTAGTTGTTATAGTCTGTTGGCTATTCATATTATTTAGTTTAAATTCCACAATTGTTAACAAAAATAGAGAGTAATTCTATAGTGACTAGATAATAGTTAATGTATTCTATTAGTCATTCTATTACAATTATATTGAATAAATAGACAAGCATAAATAGAGAAGATAAATTCTAAATAAATATATTTTTATTACGAGTTATGAATTTTATTATTTTTCTACTTGCATTTATTTTTTTCCAATTAAAAAAAAACTTATAGGTAACACATTAATTCCTCTTTATGTAACATAAGATTCTTATGTAAAAACATATATGCTTATATGATAACTATGAATGAAAAATTCCTACATGATGGCCATTAAAGACAAAAATGCATAAGATATCATTGTTTCACAAATCAAGTTTACAAGATAAATTTTAATATGGTATGATGGATTTAAACCCTTGATAAATTAGAAATTTAATTCAACTACTTTTATAGTTTTATTCTAATGCCTTCTTGACCAAGTGCATTTTAACTATTTTTAATAGCATTTTGTTTTCCTTGAATATTTTTTTAAAATAAATATATTTAAAGTAAATTGTACTTTACATAGCTACGAGTTAACATGGAATTAACGGGATTAACCCGTAAAATCAGGTTAACTTGTCAGACTTGAAATATGTATTATGAAAGTCTGGTAACTAAATATAAAAAAATTTAATTTTAACAAAATAAAATAAACAAAAAAAAGTATAAAAAAAACTCTAAATTAACTCGTTGAACTAGATTAACCCGTTAAACCTTAGATCTTTGTCATGAAGGTCTGATAACTAAATAAAAAAATTTAACATTAACAAAATAAAAAACAAAAACAATAGATGGGTTAATTCAAAATTAACTGAATTAACCTCTAAAACATGAGATATGTGTCATAAAAGTTTGATAACCAAATATAAATATATTTAATATTAATAAACTAAAGTAAATTAAAAAACCCGGGTTGACTCGTGAAACCAAGTTAACCTATTAAACCCGAGATCAGTATCATAAAATGTTTGATAACTAAATTAAAAAAATATTAACATTAACAAACTAAATTAAACAAAACAAAATTTATTAAAAGAAAACAATGAAGAAAGGAAAAAGAAGAAGCTAAAGACATCAAAAATAAAAAAATAGCTTAAAAACAACTTTAAACTAAAAAAAAGACAGCTCAGTGTTTCATAATAAATAACCACAATGAAAGGATGAATAGTTTTAATTTATTAAATAATAAATTATTAAAAATAATTAAAATCACAGGGAAAAAGATTGAAAATCAAATAAAAACACCTAAAAGTCTTCCGGAACATTAGTTTATGATCAAGATCATTTTTTTATCAAATAAAATCAACTAAAATATGATATAGTACGGTGAATGTTTCCCACCTCTTGTGAAAATACATACCTTTAAAGCAAAGCTCGAAAAGAAGCATGAAAAATTCTAAAACTCAATTCTAATTGTTAATAAAAAGATAAAGGTGAGTAAAATAATTGATAAACTAATTAAATTTAAAAAATAAAAAAATAATTAAAAAAATCAAACTGATGAAAACAATTATAATATTTAGAAACATTTCTAATTTAATTTAATTTTATAATACTGAAATTGATTAAATCTCAATTAAACCAAACCAGTTCGATTCAAATAAAAAGAAGTATTATAGAGACGAAAAAAAAGCTTTGGTGAAACAGTAACTCTAAAGCCGCACCCTCCCCTCGCCCTATGAGACACAAACATATAAACAATCAGACGCTCCCCATCTTCATTCTTCAATTTCCCCTCTAGATCTAGCATCCCAGGCTTCCTAACAACACCCAAAAACCTCAACAGCAGCCAACTCTTTTGGTCTATCTGCATTCCAGGAAATTAATTCATACGTTTCATGAATGGAGCAAAAAGTAAAGTTTTGGCCAAAGCAAGCCGCCCTATTCTAATCCATTCAGCCCTGTCTGGCTGGTCACAATTAGAATTCAAAGAGGTTGGTTTGTCATGGCTGGTCACGGTTAGAAATCAAAGAGGTGGGTAGAGATGAAGGCGTGTCAAGCAAGTGGAGTAGAGGAAAGGCAGTGAAGGTTCAACTCTATTCCTGTGGGTGAAAGCCCTGGTTTGCGTAGAGAAAGAACAGAGGAGTCCATGTAACCACTCTTCTTCAGTCCAAAAGACTAAAAAAATAATATAGTTTATTTTTTTTTTGGTTTTTTGACATAAAAATCCGAACGAATTGTTTGAAATCAGTTTTGATTATTATTATTTTTTGAAATTTCAATTTTGATTATTTTATAATATATTTTTTTTTTTTTTTATGGTTTTTTTGACATAAAAATCCGAACGAATTGGTTGAAATCAGTTTTGATTATTTTTTCTTTTTAAATTTAAATTTTGATTATTTTAATTTATAAAAATCAAACTAAACTAAAAATAATCGCTCCTAAAAAAGTCCATGCCCGTGAATGACACATAGAGAGGGTTCACATTTATTATGTACCCATGTTTATAATTGTAATTTTGTTTATAATTTTCAAAGTGTATTTTTAATGAATAAAATGTGTGTTTATAACGAAAAATAAATTTATCATGGTATTTTTTTTCTTGAATACCCTGTAATGAAATATATTTAAAGAGAATTGTATTTTTCATGATTATAAAGTGTCAGAGAAGCCATCAAAATCATTAAAAAAAGTAAAAAATTGAAAATAAATAAAAACACTTGAAAGTCTTCCAAAACACAAGTTCATGATCAAAATTACTTTTTTATCAAATAAAATCAACTAAAATATAATCTAGTACGATTAAAGTTCTTGAGGTCGCGTGAAAATACATACCTTCAAAGCAAAGCTCGAGAGTAAGCTTAGAGGATTCTAAAACACAATTACAATAGTTAATAAGGAGATGCGTGCCCGTGACATGTCGTTTTACTATAATCCATTTCACCCGTCGGCTCGACCTGGCCAAAAACCCAGCCCATTAAGGAAACCACAGCGTCTCGAATAATTTGAAATCTCGCCAAGAAATTTTACTTTCCAGTTTCAACCCATCTCTACCGTCAACTAACTCAAAAATAACGGTCCAGATCCACCCCTTCTTGACAGAACATTCTAGAACCTAAATTCAAAAACCTATATACATGCACCGCTCTTCCCAGAACCACAAGTTCTCCTGCGACGAGATATCATAACCCTAACTAAATCTTTCTTTTATTTCTAGCCGCATTATTCTTAAATCGTCTTATAATGGCCGGAAAAGGAGAAGGACCGGCCATCGGTATCGATCTAGGCACAACCTACTCATGCGTTGGTGTGTGGCAACATGATAGAGTGGAAATCATAGCCAACGATCAAGGGAACAGAACGACACCGTCTTACGTTGCTTTCACTGACACCGAGCGTTTGATCGGCGATGCTGCTAAGAACCAGGTCGCCATGAACCCAATTAACACCGTTTTTGGTTAGTATTCTTTTCAAGAGATTTCTGATAGTGGTTCGATCCTAGCTAAGAAAGCTGTAATTTCAAGATCTAGCTATGATTTTCTGATATATGCGGACACTCACTGTGATTATAGCTTAGGAAAATCGAATCTTAATTCTGCCAAGACCTTAAGTTTTGGTAGATGAATGGAACAATGATTTTAGATCCATTTTTTTAAAATTTAAATAGAAGCTACTGACTTGTACTTGTTCATAGATTAAATTTTTGTTTCGGTAGAAAATTTGTAGTTTTAATTATTAATGTTAATTGAATGATTCTTGCTGCTAATCCTTATTTGTTCATGTACTGTAGACGCAAAGAGATTGATTGGTAGGAGATATACCGATACTTCGGTACAGAGTGATATTAAGCTGTGGCCATTCAAGGTCATTCCTGGTCCTGCTGAAAAGCCAATGATTGTGGTTACTTATAAGGGCGAGGAGAAGCAGTTTGCTGCTGAAGAGATTTCTTCAATGGTTCTCATTAAGATGCGTGAGATCGCTGAAGCTTACCTTGGCACCACTATCAAGAATGCTGTGGTCACAGTCCCTGCTTACTTCAACGACTCTCAAAGGCAGGCTACTAAGGATGCTGGTGTTATTGCTGGTCTGAATGTGATGCGTATTATCAACGAGCCCACCGCTGCTGCCATTGCTTATGGTCTTGATAAGAAGGCGACCAGCGTGGGTGAGAAGAACGTGTTGATTTTTGATTTGGGTGGTGGCACTTTTGATGTCTCACTTCTTACCATAGAGGAGGGTATCTTCGAGGTTAAATCCACGGCCGGAGACACCCATCTTGGAGGTGAGGATTTTGATAACAGAATGGTGAACCACTTTGTCCAAGAGTTCAAGAGGAAGAATAAGAAGGATATCAGTGGAAATCCTAGAGCTCTTAGGAGGTTGAGAACTGCTTGTGAGAGGGCAAAGAGGACTCTCTCATCTACTGCTCAGACGACCATTGAGATTGATTCTCTCTACGAGGGTATCGACTTCTACTCAACCATCACCCGTGCAAGATTTGAGGAGATGAACATGGATCTCTTCAGGAAATGCATGGAGCCTGTTGAGAAGTGTTTGAGGGATGCGAAGATGGACAAGAGCAGTGTCCATGATGCTGTCCTTGTTGGTGGTTCTACTAGGATTCCAAAGGTGCAGCAGCTTTTGCAAGACTTCTTCAATGGGAAAGAGCTCTGCAAGAGCATCAACCCCGACGAGGCTGTTGCTTATGGTGCTTCTGTTCAGGCTGCTATCTTGAGTGGCGAAGGGAATGAGAAGGTGCAGGATCTGCTTCTTCTTGATGTTACTCCTTTGTCGCTTGGACTGGAAACTGCTGGTGGAGTTATGACTGTTTTGATCCCAAGAAACACCACCATTCCCACCAAGAAGGAGCAGGTTTTCTCCACCTACTCGGACAACCAACCTGGTGTGCTGATTCAAGTTTACGAGGGTGAGAGAACTAGAACAAGGGACAACAACTTGCTTGGCAAATTCGAGCTCTCTGGCATTCCTCCTGCACCCAGGGGTGTTCCTCAGATCACTGTCTGCTTTGATATTGATGCAAACGGTATCTTGAATGTGTCAGCTGAGGACAAGACCACTGGTCAGAAGAACAAGATCACAATTACCAATGACAAGGGTAGGCTGTCCAAGGAAGACATCGAGAAGATGGTTCAAGAGGCTGAGAAGTACAAGTCAGAAGACGAGGAGCACAAGAAGAAGGTTGAGACAAAGAATGCTTTGGAAAACTATGCCTACAACATGAGGAACACAATCAAGGACGACAAGATCAGCTCTAAGCTGGCTGCAGATGACAAGAAAAAGATTGAGGATGCCATCGATCAGGCCATTCAATGGCTGGACAGCAACCAACTCGCTGAGGCTGATGAGTTTGAGGACAAGATGAAAGAGCTCGAGAGCATCTGCAATCCCATTATCGCCAAGATGTATCAAGGTGCTGGTGGTGACATGGGTGGTGGCGTGGATGATGATGCTCCTCCAGCTAGTGGCAGTGCTGCAGGTCCCAAGATTGAAGAAGTTGATTAAGTTTGCGTTACTTGTTGAAGTCATTTTTCTCTCTTTTGTTATAACGATGACAAAAGTTCTATATTTAGGATAATTGTTTTCGTTGTTATGGATATTGGTATTTTATATTTCAATTAAAGCTGTGGAGGCGTTTCTCACACCTTTTCATCACGCATTCGGTGTTTGAT